TTCTGGGATGAAGGGTGGGTCCAGGGATTCTCTGGCGGGTGGGGGCCACCCTGCCCCCCTTCCATGATGCCAGACATGTGCTAAGTTCTGACAAGCTGTCACCATGCAGAGATGCCTGATATAAGTCTGCTGGCATAGTCTTTCACAGAGATACTTTGTTACTAAGAATAAAACTATGATGCACCTCAATATGTGTCAAATCTCCTGTTCAAGAGAAGCTCAGTAATCTGCTTTCTGGAATGTAGATGCTTTAATGTAATTTATAGAAAAGAAACATTTCAGAGAATAAAAAATGTGAAGAATGCAAAGAAGTATGCAGATCACATGTTGCAGTTATGGTAATGAATGACAATAAAGACTGATTCCTCCCAGTCCATGTGACCATTATTGTGAGGATGCAGTCACTAGTTAAACCATGAGTTTTATGGAGTCTAATAGATAGATGGGACATAAATGTGAAAAAAACAAGCAAAATAGTTTCACAAGAAAAAAAATCATTAAAACTATACATGTAATTTAAAAATATTACTAAGTGTCGAGTCCAAGGACTTGAAGTTTGGCTAACTGGTATCTCTAAATTGCCCATAGAGTTTGTGTGTGTGTGCCCTGTGACAGACTGGGAGTCCATGGCCTTGTGCCCTGTGCTTCCCAGGATTTACTCCAGGCCCCTCTACAGCCTTGCCTGGGATAATCAGCTTCAAGATGGATGGATGGATGGATGAGTGGACATATTAATAAAATGGTGTCAACAAAGCATGCTGAAGTCACTGTTGCTGAAACATAACCAGCACTTTGGCAGATGGGTAGAGGCAGCTGTAATAGAGAAATCCATCCATCTTCCAGCAGTGTGGGAGCTGATCACAGGCAGTATGGGGGAGGGAGCATCCTACACAGGACACCAATTTATATACCTCAGGCAATTTAGAGAATAAATATGGGTGTCTCTGGACTAGAGGAGACAATCCATATGAGACAGGGGGACCATGCAAACTCACACATAGCAGGGTGGGACTCAAACCCACAAACCTAGATGGGTGAAGCAACAGTGCTGCCCACTGAACCACACCACCCTACCCTACCCATAATCGAAAATACACTCACCTAAAGGATTATTAGGAACACCATACTAATACGTTGTTTGACCCCCTTTCACCTTCAGAACTGCCTTAATTCTACGTGGCACTGATTCAACAAGGTGCTGAAAGCATTCTTTAGAAATGTTGGCCCATATTGATAGGATAGCATCTTGCAGTTGATGGAGATTTGTGGGATGCACATCCAGGGCACGAAGCTCCCGTTCCACCACATCCCAAAGATGCTCTATTGGGTTGAGATCTGGTGACTGTGGGGGCCACTGTAGTACAGTGAACTCATTGTCATGTTCAAGAAACCAATTTGAAATGATTCGAGCTTTGTGACATGGTGCATTATCCTGCTGGAAGTAGCCATCAGAGGATGGGTACATGGTGGTCATAAAGGGATGGACATGGTCAGAAACAATGCTCAGGTAGGCCGTGACATTTAAACGATGCCTAAGGGGCCTAAAGTGTGCCAAGAAAACATCCCCCACACCATTACACCACCACCACCAGCCTGCACAGTGGTAACAAGGCATGATGGATCCATGTTCTCATTCTGTTTATGCCAAATTCTGACTCTACCATTTGAATGTCTCAAGAGAAATCGAGACTCATCAGACCAGGCAACATTTTTCCAGTCTTCAACTGTCCAATTTTGGTGAGCTCATGCAAATTGTAGCCTCTTTTTCCTATTTGTAGTGGAGATGAGTGGTACCCGGTGGGGTCTTCTGCTGTTGTAGCCCATCCGCCTCAAGGTTGTGCGTGTTGTGGCTTCACAAATGCTTTGCTGCATACCTCGGTTGTAACGAGTGGTTATTTCAGTCAAAGTTGCTCTTCTATCAGCTTGAATCAGTTGGCCCATTCTCCTCTGACCTCTAGCATCAACAAGGCATTTTCACCCACAGGACTGCCGCATACTGGATGTTTTTCCCTTTGCACACCATTCTTTGTAAACCCTAGAAATGGTTGTGCGTGAAAATCCCAGTAACTGAGCAGATTGTGAAATACTCAGACCGGCCCGTCTGGCACCAACAACCATGCCACGCTCAAAATTGCTTAAATCACCTTTCTTTCCCATTCTGACATTCAGTTTGGAGTTCAGGAGATTGTCTTGACCAGGACCACACCCCTAAATGCATTGAAGCAACTGCCATGTGATTGGTTGATTAGATAATTGCATTAATGAGAAATTGAACTGGTGTTCCTAAAAATCCTTTAGGTGAGTGTATATGGAAGAACAATTAATGTTAAGTTTTCTGTAACTAATTAATATGTGTCAGTCAGGTATTGTTAATGGTGTGTGCCTCAGTGGGTTGTTGTGATAGGAAGGTTGCTGGGTCAAGTCCCAGGGTCACCAGAGTGATGTCACCATTGGACCCCTGAGCAGGGCCCTTAAACCCCATTTGCTCCAGGGACTGTCTGAACCTGCCTTCTCAAAAATAAAAATGTTTTTAAAAAAGTTTTCCGCTTTGGATAATCATGTCTGCTAAGTAAGCTAAACGATTATAAGAAGTAGTGTTTTTAAAGCTTAAACGTGAAACAAGGCTTGTTAATTGCTTTGTGCTTTGATCTGATCTCACAGGGACTTCAGAAGCCTGGGGAGGAAGTGAGGTCTCTGAGACAGGATGGCTGCCTAGTATTCAATATCACAAAGAGGAAAAATAGCGATTTCACTATTTAACACGAAGCAGATGTTACCCTACAGTTATACAACAGAAGAGGTGCAGGTAATGCTTTCAAGTGTGAAATACATGATCGTTTGGAGGACACTCAGTGCTTCCTGGTGTTTCAGGTGATACCAGCAACTCTGCTTTACAGGAAAGTGACAGGAAGGTGCATGTTTGGAGCGGCACACTGGTTTGTGGGGCATACGCACACAGTTGCGGTGCTGACCTCACTGACAGTAAAAGGAACGAACGGAAGCCGAGTTTTTGCAAGATGAAAAGGGCAGAATATAAGAAAAAATGGCAGTCGCAGGGAAGAAGAGGACAAACAGAAACAGCCCTTTGAGATCTAGAATGGCTGAAAGGACATTGAGTTTATTTTGAGAGACAAGCAGCATCATTTCCAGGCAGATTGGTTAAATGGACAAGGAGAAGGTCAAAACTACACAGCAACACAGGAGCTGTTTCTGTCCTCATGCCATCACCCCCATAAATAGCTGACCTGTATCATCTGCTATGCTGCAGCCACTCGTCTTTACACCCTGCCTCACTTATACTGTATTGTACAACCTCATTGCGATACGTGATGCTCATTATTACTGTTGGCACTTTATGTTTATTACTTGTCTTGTATTTAATCTGTATATTCAGATTACTTTATTGATCCCAATATATATATATATATATATATATATATATATATATATAAATGAAGGGGTAAGCCACAAATAATGTAATTCATACATGTTAAAAATTAGGAAAATAAAATAAGATAAATATCGCTAACGGCTAGAAAAAGAATAACCGCGTGCAACACTGGAAGCAGACAGAACTCGCTATTTCACCAAATTACATTTATGCAGCACCTCCCCCTAGTGGCGGAGAGGTATTACAGCTCTAGCTTAGTTGGACTACAGTAAAATTAAAGGTACATATGTATATTAATTGGACGTGGTTTCTTCTGGTGCTTTTAACATACATCTTTTGGTGTATATAAATTGACATCTAGGGTTGTGTCACGGAAGTGAAAAAAAAAAACTGATATTGCTCTGGGAAATTGCTGGCGTGGCTGTTTAATGGATGGTACTGTTGTCTCACATCTAGGCTTGGGGGGGTTGAAGTCCATTCCCACTTTGCCTGTCTGCCCTCCCCATGTTGGGTAAGGATCCTCTAGCCCTCTCACAACCGAGCAGAATAACAGTCAGGAAAATGGATGGATGGATTTTTGTTGGAATATGAACAGTATTTTGGCCTCACATTAAACTCTTGAAATTGTGTCTTTTGGGTTGATGGATCCTGGTAAGCTGATCCCTCTCAAAGAATCACGAATATCAGAAAAATATAACTGGAAAAAGATATTTAAAATCGGTAGCTTGGCTCACTGATGCAAAGTGCAAAAGGATGGATAAAAACCCATTAGGGTGGGAGATTCCAGATGACGTGGACCAAACTACCTTAATGGCACATACTGACACTTCCAAGAACCTTTCAAATGTAAGGCCTAAGTTTAGTGGGTGACATCATCCTAGGTGCATGTTTGTTCACCTCATGCATGACATTAGTCCTGATACTGTGAAATATTAATGCCATCTTCATGCTGTTGAACTGGCTTAGGCATGCAGCTCACCAGTCCATATTCCCCAAACACCTTTTGTTGCACTTCATCCATGACTTTGAAGAGTCTTACAAGGTTTTTTTATTTATTTTTTTTTTTATAGAGGTTGTACAGCTGTGGCTCCAGTACTGCATTCATCAGAAGCTTAGACTAGGCACAGTCAACTCCTTGACAGTATAGCTGATGTTCCTTACTCATACATTGCTTTGGACAGAAGCATCTAAGCAAAATTGTAGCCAACTCTGCTAAACCACGAGTTTGTCCATGTACATTAACACCCTTAGCTATCAAGTGTCTCTCCCCTTTATCAATGGAGAGCTGTAGCCATCACCAACTATACTCCTAAAATTAGTGACCGTCTAACAGCAGGTATGAGTGCCTGTCCTTTACACTCTGCAAAGTCAGAAGCACGCCCTTATGTCAGCACTAACAATGTTTAACCCAGTGACAATGCTCCATGAAATGGAGAGGACTTTAAACAGGTTAAACATGCAACCTTCTGTTCCAAGGACTCAAACAGGACATTTGCACACAATTCACCAAGTTCAAGTCGCAGATCTGGGGAGAAAAGCATTATCACAGTCCAGGGTAAAGGGCAGTTTTGTCCATAAAATGGAGGTACAAAGTATTAGAAATGAAAAATGAGGGAATTTAAACAATTTTATTCTGCAGGATTAAATACAGCAGACAAACTGTCACTGTTCAGGTTAGCCTCACACTGTAGGGACAGCATTGGTACAAAAAGTATTTGGTCTTCGTTTCTGCTGACCACATTGCAAGTCATCCAGATGGAGGGAAAGGCCATGTGACCAATAAGGTTCTACTCCTTGGAAGCCATGTGAGCCATGAGGTCAATGACACGGTTGCTGTAGCCAAACTCATTATCATACCTGCAAAGATCAAAACCAAAAATAGACAAGTTACAACCAAATTAGACATCTCAAAACACTAAATGCCATAGACAGGACCAAGTCATTAAGATTTCACATACCATGAGACCAGCTTGACAAAGTGGTCATTGAGCGCAATACCAGCACCAGCATCAAAGATTGAGGAACGGCTGTCCCCATTGAAGTCTGTGGACACCACCTGGAATAGGAATCCATTCATTAGGAATAACTAAATCTTAAGGCTCATCTTCACAACTGGGCGTTCTACTGGAGTAGCGCCAAAATATACCATGGCAATGCATTGGCCACCACGTCCTACTTCCCCATCAGCATTCACACCCCTACACACCTGATCCTCTGTGTATCCCAGAATGCCCTTCATGGGTCCCTCAGAGGCAGCCTTAACAGCCTTCTTGATGTCATCATATTTGGCCTGAGACGGGAAAAGGCAAGCTAAAAACAAGTCCTATATATATCTATATCTCTATATCTCTATATACATCTATACATCTATATAGATATAGATATATAGATATATATAAAAAGAATTAAAAAAATAAATACCGGCTTCTCTAGACGGACTGTAAGGTCAACCACTGACACGTTGGGGGTAGGCACACGGAACGCCATCCCAGTCAGCTTCCTGCGACATTTACAGAATGGGAACGTCGACATTAAAATTTCACAAAATTATACAAGGCTTCTAAAAGGCTACTCTGTACTGGTACCAACCCATTCAGCTCAGGGATGACCTTGCCCACAGCTTTGGCAGCCCCAGTAGATGCTGGGATGATGTTCTGGCCAGCACCACGGCCATCTCTCCACAGCTTGCCAGAGGGGCCATCCACAGTCTTCTGAGTGGCTGTGATGGCGTGCACTGTGCTCTGCGAAAAGGCAAGAGGGTACACTTAGGAAAGTCTCACCCCTGCACCTCGGTAAACACTTGTCTGAAGCTGACCCTTACCATGAGCCCTTCAACGATTGTGAAGGTGTCATTGATGACCTTGGCTAGCGGGGCCAGGCAGTTTGTTGTGCAGGAGGCATTGCTGTTGAAGAGAGAAATCAACCTTATTGCTCATGTACTGTGATCAGTCCAAGTATGTGCAAATGGTTTGCTGGGAACTTGTTGGAGAGGGGAGGGGGGGGTTACCTGACGACCTTGAGGGAGTTGTCATACTTCTCATGGTTGACACCCATCACAAACATGGGGGCATCAGCACTGGGGGCCGAGATAATGACCCTCTTGGCACCTCCCTTCAGGTGAGCCTACGGAAGACACACTGTTCTGGATTTGCTCAGAAGAGAGTGCAGACTACTCATGTGTGACTGGCACTTACAGAGGCCTTCTCTGTGGTGGTAAAGACTCCTGTGGACTCCACAACGTATTCTGCCCCGGCCTCACCCCACTTAATGTTTGCAGGGTCGCGCCTGAAACGACATGCAAGGTGATTCATCGATCCAAAAGCCAGCAAAACACCAAGCTAGCAACAGGCAAGCCAGACACTCACTCATGGAACACAGTGATCGCCTTTCCAGAGATGTAGAGCTTGCCACCCTCAGCTTTCACCTCCCCTTTGAAGTTCCCATGCGTAGAGTCATATTTGAACATGTACACCTGCAGAGTGGAGGACAGGCAGACAGAGGATTATGCCACATTAACAGGGATATGCATCTAATGAGACATTAGTGCAAGACATGAGCTCAGCAGGATTCCAGCCTCACCATGTAGTCCAGGTCAATGAAGGGGTCATTGATGGCCACAATCTCTACCTTTCCAGACTGAAAAGCAGCACGGGTTACCAGGCGGCCAATACGACCAAATCTACAATCAAAATCCAATATGGACACCAATTAGATTGGAGCAAATATTTGCCCCCCTTATCCAACAGATCATTGAAGTCAAAGCAAGCAGCCACCCCTTGTTCAAAAACCCCATTGAACCTATAAAAAGGTAAGATCAAATGAAGGAGAAAAAAAAAAAAAAAAAAAAAAAAAAAAAAA